GAACATTTTGTTTTATAATAGAAACAACTTCGATCTTTTGAAGGAAAAATATATCTTTATGTATAATACTGATAAGTAAAATAAAAATAAGAAAACATTTTTGTTTTCATAAAAAAAAACCATACAATTAAATGTTTATCATTTTTGTACTCTTTCAGATTTTCCCACTTTATCATTCAGTAGGAAAAACTGAAGTCCCTATAGCTAGTGAAATTCTACCAGTCTTTACTCCATTGAGTGCCCAAGAGAATAAAACTGGGCCTAAACTCAGACTACAGAAAATACTTAGATTGAAAAGCAATGGGCTAGCATCTTAATTCCAGACTAATAGACTGAGAATAGTAAAACAGCATCTTATTCCAAATACAAGGGACAGGAATTTTTGAATAAGGCAGCCCTGTTTTCCTGCATTAAAAAGGCAAGAAAATTCAACAGTTTTTGTCAAATGTCATTTTTTTCTACAGTAGGCAGAAGTCTTTGTTCATTCCACTTTTATTCCATAGCAAAGATTCCTCTAGCTCATCCTGAGCTTCCTCTAGCTTCCAAAACATCCTCAAATATTCTCCCCTCTACTATTCTACTAATCCCTCAATATGCTTACTTGCTGAATTGGTAGCTCAAAGGGTAGAAATGGTCCTCAGCTGCAGCAGTGTTCAAACCTTAGTGTGCATCAAACCATCACTAAAACACACATAGCTGGGCCCTACCCTTGACAGTTGCTGATTTATTAAGTCTGGCGTGGGGCTTAAGAATCTGCATGTCAACAGCATCTAATTCTGGCCCAGGATCACATCTGGAGAACCAATGATATATTGAAATACAGAAGAAAGGGATGAAGGAGGTCCACCATTCCTAGTCCCTTATCTTCAGAATTTTGAATATTTCATAAAGTTTGTAGAAAGTACAGCTGAATTTTTCATCAGAAACTGATGAGGGCTTCCAGTCTTATCTAATGGAGTAAACATATATCTTCTTTCATCTTCTCTTGTCTTCCAAGAAATACTATCTGACTACTATATGAGCTAATAATAAAAAAGTTCTTTATAACAGATTTTTCATCAAGCAAATTTTTATTGTTATATGGGGTGAAATGCTTTGAATTCAGGTGTTATATTCTACAATAGTGAACTGATAAGGGCTCCATAATTTCTTTCAAGGCATGCTGAGTTAGAGATAAAGTCCTGCACCATGATATATCTTTTCCGAGCCTAAATGTTCTGACTCAAAACTAGCTCTTCCCTGAGGACACCGCTTCTCTTGTAGCCTCCACAGTGTTATGCCTGAAGGTAGGAAGGCATCTTTCTTGCTCTTCGTTGCTACTTTCAGACCATTCTTTCCACTTTCTCCCTGAAAATACTCCATACTGAAATTACTATAATCACATTCTATCACTCATTAGTCCCTCCTGGTGTAATCATTTACTATTTTTCTTTGACAATTTTAGCCTATTATCACTTTCAGAAAATTTCCTTATGACCTAATTCTTGGTGATTTTAAATCCATGTAGATGATGCTTTCAATATGTTGGCCTTCAGTTCTCTGAACTGTATCCTCCCCAACCCTCTTACTTTTCCACCAATGATCTTGTACCCTCCCCCTACCCTCATACCTTACTTTAACCATTAACTTCCAAGGCCATATCCTACCTTTTGTTATTACCAACAACTGCATCTCCTCCATAATTTCATTTCTCTTCTCTTTCCAGTTCATTCCCTCTGGTGTCCTAACTCCAATAATTCTTCACTTTCATGAGGACCTACTATCACTTTTTCATTGTCCCTAATGATCATATGTTCACTTCCCTTCTTACCCAGATTAAAAATCTACAGTCCTTTACTGTAGTAATGTCCTTATGAACTTCCTTAACACCCTTGCCCTGCCTCATTTCACTCTACTTGTCTCATAAATCCCCAATCCTACATAAGTTTCTCCCTAACCTGTGCCTATACCTGCACAGAAAAAAAGTGGTAGGAGAAAAACACAACTGTTGTGATGGGCCTCCTTCAAATTCAAATGTGTCTGTAAAGTTGCCAGACAGTAATATGGTGTTTCCAGAGTTTATTCCCTCTATCACTAAGATAGTTAACTATCTTATACCTATTCATTCATTCTTATCCTCAACTTATAACCTTCCAATTTCAATGAGACAACTGAAGGAATCTGAAGAAAATTTATGTAACTTATATAAACTCCCACTATCATATCTATCCACATGTCTGTGCTTGTGCACATATATTCTACCTTCTCTCTCTCTCTCTCTTTTTGAAATAGGAATTTCTCTTTCACTCTGTCACCCAGGATGGAGTGCAGTGGCAAGATCTTGGCTCACTGCAACCTCCACCCCCTGCAGGCTCAGGAGATCCTCCCACCTTAGCCTCCTGGGTAGCTGGGACCACATGCACATTCCACCACGGCTGGCTAATTTTTCTATTTTTAGTAGAGATGAAGTTTCACCATGTTGGCCTGGCTGGTCTCAAATTTATTGAAAAAAATGTTGGCCTCAAGTGATTCATCTACCTCAGTCTCCCAAAGTGTTGGGATTACAGGCGTGAGCAATGGCACCTGGTCTGCCTTCTCTCTTATTATAGTGAATAAACTGTGTTCCTATAGAAGACTTATCTTAAAACAAATATGATAATTTAGCTGTAATCTATTAATCCAGACATTACAGAAATGCACAAAAGTGTACAACTGGGTCACCCTTCTCATTATTTTTTTTGTTTTGGAAAATATAGTTAAGTTTTAGAAAAATATATTAACATATAATGGGTTTGTTGATATTTTAAAGCAATTGACACATGAATAGTTTTAAAATTTGTTTTGGTTTCTACTATAGTAAATATCAAAAGTTGGCTGGGTGCGGTGGCTCATGCCTGCAATCCCAACACTTTGGGAGGCTGAGGCGGGAAGATCACGAGGTCAGGGGTTTAAGACCAGTCTGGCCAACACGGTGAAACCCTGTCTCTCCTAAAAATACAAAAAAACAAAACAAAACAAAACAAAAAAAAACCACACAAAAAAGAAAAATTAGCTAGGTGCGGTGGTGGGCGCCTGTAATCCCAGCTATTTGGGAGGCTGAGGCAGGAGAATTGCTTGAAGCCAGAAGGCGGAGGTTGCAGTGAGCCGAGATCAAGCCACTGCACTCCAGCCTAGGCACTGGGGTGAAACTCTGTCTCAAAGAAAGAAAAAAAAAAGAAAGAAGACTTATCTTGTTCATTATAGTTTCAGATTTAAATTCTACTTCTTTTCTTCTCTCTTTTGAGTCTGCTTTTGTTGTCTGCTGTTTCTACTAGTTCTCATTCATGGTGTTTTGTCAACTTGTGTGTTTGGCTGTCGTTGATTGTGTGCTGGACACTGCATTTTTGAAATTACCTGTGGAAATAATTTGAGTCCTAGGATAATGTTATCTTTTATATAAGATTTTTGTTTCCTTCTGACAGGTATGTGGAGGTTCCAGCAGTTTGGAACCATTTTAATACAGGTTCAAAGTTCGGGATTTTCTGAGCTATCCAGATGATGTGAAGCGAAGCTACACTCTGTATGAATGTTCGTTTTCTTCCAGTTTATCCTTACTACTAGAGTGCAGGCCTTTGAAAGCCTAAGTCCTCACCTTTGGTGGGCCACAGATTCTAACTTTTGACCCCTACCTCCTGAAGCCACCAAGCTTCTCAACATACTGGGGGCAAAAGTAGCTCCAAATGTTGGGTTCACTTTCTGCTGTCTCCTTTAAAGTCTCAGCTTGAAAGTTCATTGCTGTTTGTTATTTATTTTATGCTTTTAACTTCAAAAATTAATTTAGCCAGGTAATATGAATTACCTGCTTCATTACTGGGAATGAAAAGTTCCTAGCATTATCCTTTTCTCTTAAAATCTGATAAGGTTTTAACTACTACCATTCCTCTAAACTGCTCTTGTTGAAGCTCCTCAATGATGTCTGCATTGCTAAATTCAGTAGTCTTTCTCAGTCTTTGCTTTACTTAACATTGACCCAGTTAATCCCTTCCCTCCTCCTCTGGCAAACATTTTCTTTGCTTGATTTTCAGGGCACCACATTAATCTAGTTTTCCTCTTATCTCAGTGATAGCTGCTGCTTTGTTTTCTTTGCTAGTTCGCCCTCACCTTTCTGATCTTTAAACATTAGAGAGCCCTAGGATCTAGTTTTTAGACATCATTTCTTTTTTTCTTTTCTTTTTTTTAAGATGGATTCTCACTCTGTGGCCTGGCTGGAGTGCAGTGGTGTGATCTCAGTTCACTGCAACCTTGGCATCCCGGGTCAAGTGATTCTCCTGCCTCAGCCTCCTGAGTAGCTGGGACTACAGGTGCGTGCTACCACACCCAGTGAATTTTTCTGTAGTTTTAGTAGAAACGGGGTTTCACTGTGTTAGCCAGGATGGTCTCAATCTCTTGACCTTGTGATCTGCCCACCTCGGCCTCCCAAAATGCTGGGATTACAGGCATGAGCCACCGCCCCGGCTTAGACTTCATTTCTTCCTTTACTTACTATGTAGGTAGTCTTAAGCAGTTTCAAGGCATTAAATACCAATTAAATGTAAATGATTTCATAATTTTTATCCTTACTTAGACCTCCCTCTTGACCTTCAACTTGAGTAGCCAACTACCTACTTGATATTCTTACTTGAATGTCTAAGAGACATCTCAAAGTAAATATATCCAAAATTTTACTCCTGATCTTTTCTCCAAAATTGCATCTCCTGTTAACAATATCCCACCCTTCTATGGTAAAAACAAACAAACAAACACAAACAAACACCTTAGAGTCATCCTTTGCCATTCTATTTCTCTCATAGCCCACATCCAATCTATCAACAAAAACTGCTGGCTCTATCTTAATCCATTTATTCCTGAGGCTGTAATTTTTTTGAATTTTTGCAATCAGACCTTGGTGATGACTTTAAGCAGTAGGATATAAATAACTCCCACATGCTTAGCGTTCCAATAATGGAATGCTATTCCACTGTTAGCCAGGATGCTAACAATGATTTTTGTTAAAATAAAGCATATTGAAAAATCTAACCATTTTTTACCACTCCCTCGGCAACCAACTCTAGTCCAACCAACCATCATCTCTCCTGGATTATGCCAATATCCTTCTCAGTAGTTTCTCTACCTCTACCCCTGTCTTCCTCACTATATTTGCAACATATTAGCTAGAGTAATATTTTAAAAATCTTAGCCAAATTATGTCACTTCTTTGCTCAGCAATTTCCAGTTGCTTCCCATCTTATTAGAGACTTCTGAGTACTCTAGAGGGTCCTGTATAATCTGACTTTTTGATATCTTTCTAATAAATTTCCTAACATTCTCCCCCATATGCACTCTCTTCCATTCATACTGGCTTTCTTGCTAATTCTAAAACGTGCTAGGTATACTCAAAGACTCAGGGTTTTTGCATTTATTCTTTGTGCCTGGAAAGCTTTCTCTAGATTTCTTGTGGCTTGCTCTCTTACCTCCTTCTGATATCACCCAAATGTCACATTCTCATAGATGCCTTATCTGATCATTCTATTTAAAAATTGTATCTTGTGCTCCACTTCCTATCAAGTCCCCCTTCCCTGCTGTTTTGTTTTTCCTTATAGCATTTATCATATTCTAGTGATGAAAGTATTTGGGGGCATAAAGATTTTTTGAGTACTGCACAATCCACACCATTTAGTTATTTCTCTTATAAGGAAGGTAGACTTTGAACTATATTTCATACTAATTTTGCATATCTTACAATGTCTTTATTCCTTTCAATTCTACAGAATTATATTTTTATGCCCTCAAATATGGGAAAGAATCAAGCTGAGAATTATTATAGGCAGCTACAATTGTAAGTATTATTTTAGTTTTTATATTAATCTAGGGCAGAAAATGTCTTTAGAAGTTAAGTGTTTTATTAATATAAACAAAATGACTGTTTTCATTGAAGTTCTAGAACGGAAGCAGATGGTTTGGACATGTGTGTATGTGCGCATTTGTGTGTGTGTGAGTGTAGGTATGTGAGACATGTGTATGTATAAACAAAATTAAAATGACCACAGAATAACATAACATAGCTTTTTCAAATCAGCATTTTTCACATCAGCATTTTTCAAATCATAATTTTTTTTTCAAAAATGTCATTGTGTTAAAACTAGAGTTTGTAGCAGACAGGGTTTCCCCTGTTTAACTGATGACTCCTCTTGATTTAAAACCTTGCCTTGATTGTTCCAATCTACGTTCATTTTTGCACCTCTGGCTAATGAAATTGGGGCATCTGTGTTGAGATGAGAAACTTCCAAGAATGACAAACCACTCCCATCTTCATGGTCATCAATTCTAGAATGGGACCTTTAAATTCCATTTTGTATTTAAAAACAAAACTAGACTTTTAGGGAGTATGGTGAAGGAGATTCTCTAATATATCTATTTATGTTGTTAACTTTGGTAGTCTTGACTTACCAAGTTCTGATGGGTGCTACTGTCTGTTAATGCAAAGGTCAGGCCTATCTATCTTAATTTTTAATATGAATATGCTGTATTCCAAGAACAAAATGTAAGCAAATGACATAGCAAGGGGTGGACGACATTAGAAGCATGTCTCCCTCATAGAGTATTTTATTCTTGATGACATTAAAATGGCTTCTGCCAGAGTTTTATCAAACTAACTATGATTTAGAGTGAACACATTACAAATCTCAAACACACTGAACTGATGAAATGAAATTTGACATCAGAGTTCGAGGTAACCAAGAACTTACCATCTGATACTTTTTGTTCACAGTTAAGTAAATCTTTGCAGATTCGTGCTGGGTTATCTCGTGTGCCAAGAGGCTTCTTGATGCTGTGCAATAAATTGCTAAGGTAGTTCAGGGTTTTGAATATCTCTTCACTGTGGTCAATTAAAGTCACTTCAGTATTCTGGTAGTTCTGCCAAGTCATCATAAGAATTATGTAAGCAAAAAACTCCTGAGGACCAACATGGGCCAAGGCAGGAGAAGAATGTGTTTCCGTTACGTGTAGTAAGTTGGGAGTAGAATGTAAAGAACAGTTTATATTTAAGCATAGGCATATGTGTATGTTTTATTAACCTTAATATTTTAAAGAAGTTAAGTTCATATTCGCAAGTTTAGTTTTCAAGCTAACATAAGAATTGCTATGTCTACTGTATTATGTTTTTAAAATTACACATTGAATGATTAAAGTTTAAATAAAATAAATGAGTAGTGATAATATATATATCTCATTTTAAGAAACATGGCTAACTTCATTTAACTACTTTCTTGGCTAGTACCAAATTCCTTACAAATAACAGTATTACATTTTTGATTTAAATGTTTTCCTTACAAAACATCCTACGCATATATTTCTGCTTAACTATACCAAAATCACTTACTTCATTCTTGAAAATGGTTTCACATTTTCAATCTGTTTTAAATACAATCTTTGAGATAATGTCACATTTTGGCCTCCAAAAAACTTCTCTGTTTAATTGGTATATTGAGAGACAGTGCCAATATAAATAAAACCAGATATGTTACCTCCATCTGTAGGGCAGCATTTGATTCAATCAAGGCTTGAATAGCAGCATTGATATCCATTTGCTTCTGTGTAAAACAAAACCATTTGAGATTAGCAATAAGATCAACACTGAGTGCTCCAAAGTAAAGGCTGCAAATTCTGAAAGCACTGCTGTAAAGTATACCAGACTTATTATCTGAAGGGGTTCTGTAACTCTTAGACAGATTTTGCAAATATTACCTGGCTATCTAAAAGGACAATATGCCACCTTCATCCAAATCTAAAGGTCTCCTAATTAAAGTAGGACCAGAGTGTAGAGTCCTCAAATGAAAAACTATTTGTTCCTGTTGCCTGAAAACACACACACAAAGTTCCTCAAATGGAAGAGAATAAAATATGATCCTCTCAGTTAATAAATTGTAAAGTGAAGAATAAATAACTGTAGTAATTTTTAACAGTTACATTCTTGGAAGGAATAGAATAAAATACTACTGTCCTGAGGTAGTCACCACATTAATTTAATCTGATACTTCTGTGGTTTTAAAAACAATTTCTGAAGTTGGAAAATGTACCATGAGTCCCAAAAGAAATAATACAGAAGGAAATCAATCTCCTCTTGCATTTAATAAAATATATTTTTAGAAAAAGACTGAGCATAATCATTAGTAAAAGTCTTTTCTTTGTAATTATTTTTTAAAAATTATCTTAGAACAATGAAGCATGGTTCTGGGAAACGGCATCTGTGTAAGTGAAACAAGCAATTTAATTTCTTTCAGAGTCATTGTACTGTGAAGACATCTTTTTACTTGAAGGCTTATAGAATAGAAACAGTTTTCAACAGATCGCTCATAGCTCATGGTTGGTAGTTTGAAAAACTATTTAAAATGATGGAATAATCAATAAAATGTGCTCTCCCTTGCTTCAGCATGTGTTTTTCATATTGGAAAATAACTGACTCATTCTGCATATATATACTGCCAAACACTGTGATACACACTGAGGAGAAAATGGTAAACAAAAAAGAAACTTGCCCTTATGGAACTTAAATTTAGAGAGGAGATAGGCAATAATTAAATCATCTCAAAAATCATAATTACTAATTGAGATACACGCTATGAAAGAGAAGTGCATGAAACTGTGAGAGAAATTAGAGAAATTAATCAAATCTGGAAAATGTAAGAGGTTGGAAGGAATAGGTCAGGGAAGGCTTCCCTGAGGTAGTAAAATTTGAACTGATATCCAAAGAATAAATAAGAATTGTTAGGAGAAGGGGTAGGAGAGCTTTCCAGGCAGAAGACGCAAATGCCATGAGACAGAAGGAGCATGGACTATTCAAGTAGCAAAGAGGTTAAACCTAAAATATTCTCCGCAGATTAAATAATTATGACCATACTGCTCATGTGAATGAGCAGATTTTGGATATGGGTGACGCAAAAATATTGGCACTAAATATGGGAAACTGAATTAAGTGCTGAACCAAAGCCACCTTTATGTTGTTCACTTGGTCCCCTGTTGGTGATTAAGAGTTTTAATTAGAAAATCTAGCATAGTGGTTCTCAAACTCTTCAGAATTGGAATCCTTTTGCACTTTTAATAAAGAATTCCTTTATTATTAGAGGCCTTACACATTTTTTGTTTTTGTTTATGTGAATTATAACTTTGGAGTCTCACTCTGTCACCGAGGCTGAAGTGCAGTGGCACGATCTCGGCTCACTGCAACCTCTGCTTCCTGGATTCCAGCGATTCTCCTGCCTCTCAGACTCCCAAGTAGCTGTGACTACAGGTGTGTGCCAACACACTATTTTGTATTTTTTGTATTTTTGGTAGACATGGAGTTTCACCATGTTGGCCAGGCTGGTCTTGAACTCCTGATCTCAGGTGATCCGCCCGCCTTGGCCTCCCAAAGTGCTGGGGTCATAGGTATGAGCCACCGTGCTCGGCCAACTTTTGATATTTACTATGGTAGAAACCAAAACAAATTTTAAAACTATTCATATGTCAATTGCTTTAAAATATCAACAAACCCATTATATGTTAATATCAATATTTTCATAAAAATTAACTATGTTTGCCAAAACAAAAAAATTAATGAGAAGGGTGACCCAGTTTTACATTTTTGTGCATTTCTGTAATGTCTGGATTAATACATTACAGCTAAATTCTCATATTTGTTTTTGTATTCAATTGGTTGTGAAGAAAATCTAGCCTCATAGAGATACGTAGGAGGAAAAAAGAAAAGTATTTAAGTTGTCTTTTTCAAATAATTATGGATTTTCTTCTATCATATTATACCTTATACCAAAACTTGATAAGTGGTAGTTTCTTAAAGGTTAGTTTCTATGGGAAAACTGAACCCACCTCAATGAACATTTTGTACTTTTATACTAAAATCTATTGGTCTATTTTATACTTTCATAGATCTTTTGCCTATACATGATTTTATTAACATCATATATTAATCATTCTGAAAATACTGATTTATGGAATTATGTAGGTCTTCCAAACACTGATATAGCTCATTACTTAATGTCAGAAATTACATTTGTTAACATCATCAGGAAAACATAATGTTACTTATCAGGAAAACATAAGTACTGGGAATCTATTAAATTCTCAGTGATAAATACGTTTTCCCTAATTCTTATTTTTGCTTGAGAGCTTGAAATTTATCATTGGCATCAAATTCTGTCAGTTGTTTTCCTTGAAATGACAGGCTAACTTCATTCCTTTTCAAGAAAATATCTGTAAACTACTCATGTCTTAATAATACTGGTAGTCTGTCAATAAAAAATGGTACTCTATGATAAAACTGGCTAGTTGAATTTGCAACTCAAATAGCTGTACAGTGCTTTCAAAGCAATCACTACAGTGTGCACTATAGGTACTTTATATGTTCTTCCATTTCATCATACAAAATATCAAAAAGATATTTAAAGAAGATAAGAGATCTAGGAGACAGCAAAACTGGTGGAATAATAACCTTCCAGAATTCTCTCTTAGCAAGTTAAAAAATCCATGTCTTTAGAACTAAAGGACAGTATGAGAAAGGTGTCTTACTAAGTAGAGAATATAATAAAAGCACATAAACTATAGAAAAAAGAATCAAATAGAAATTCTGAAGTTAAACAGTACAATAGCTGAAATAAAAATTTACTAGATAGGCTCTACAGTAGATTTCCATAGGCAGAAGTAAGCACCAGTTAACTTGAAGACAGGTTTATTGAGATTATCCTGTCTGAGGAGTGGAAAAAAATAATGAAGAAAAATGAACAGAGACTTAAGAGATCTGTAGGACACTGTCAAGCTTACCAACATATGCATGATGAGAGTCTCAGAAGGGAAGGAGAGAGAAACGGGGGTACAAAGAATATGTAAAGAGATAACGGCTGAAAACATCACAAATCTGATGCAAAAATATTAACCTACACATCCAAGAAGCTCTACAAACTTTCCCAGATACATCACAATCAAATTATCCAATTCTATAGACAAAGAGAGAATTCTGAAAGCAGAGAGGAGGCTCATCATGTCCAAGAGATCTTCAACTAGATTAACAGCTAATTTCCCATAAAAAAATCATAAAGGTGAGCAGGCAGTAGGATAATATATTCAGAGTGCTAAAAGAAAAGACTGTCAGCCAAGAATTCTATTTCCAGTAAAACTCTCCTTTAAAAATGAAGGAAATACTAATATATTCCCAGTTAAATAAAAACTGAGACAATTTATCACTAACATACCTTCCCTAGAAAAATATTATAGGGAGTCATTCAGGCCTAAAGTAAAGGATACTAGGCAGAAACTTGAATCCAGCTGAAGAAATAAAGAGCAGTAGTAAAAGTTACAATACAGTAGATATAATATATAGTATAGACCACAAGTAGCCAAAAGTAATTTCGAAAAAGAAGTTAGAAGCATCATGTTTCCTGATTTCAAAACTTACTATAAAGCTGCTGTAATCAAAACAGTTGGTACTGTCATAAAGACAGACATAAAGACCAATGAAATAGAATAGAGAGTCCAGAAATAAACTTTCTCATTTATGATCAAATTATTTTCAACAACAGTGCTAAGCTCATTCAATGAGGAAAGAACGGTCTTTTCAACAAACAGTGCTGGAAAAATGGAATATCCACATGGGATAGAATGAAGTTAAACCCTTAACTTACATCAAGTACAAAAAACTTACATCATGAGTTATATCATGAACTCAAAATGAATCAAAGACTTGAACATAAGAGCTAAAACTAAAAAATTATTACAAGCAAATAGGAAAAGCCTGATAACATAATTTTGCAGTGATTTCTTGGAGAGATAGCAAGAGCACAGTCAACAAGAGAAGAAAGTAGATAAATTAGACTACATATATATATAAAAAATCTGTGCATCAAAGGACACTATACAGAGAGTGAAAAGGCAACTCAAGGGATGGGAAAAAATAACTGCAAATTGTCTTTCTGGTAAAGGATTAATACCTAGAATATTTAAAGAGCTTCCACAACTTACTAACAACCAAAAAAAAAAAAAAAAAAAGCAATCCAATTCAAAAAATGGGCAAAGAACTGAATAGATATTTCTCTAAAGAAGAGGCTGGGCACGGTGGCTCACGCCTGTAATCCCAGTACTTTGGGAGGCCAATGCGGGCGGATCACTTGAGGTCAGGAGTTCGAGACCAGCCTGGTCAACATGGTGAAACCCCAGCTCTACGAAAAATACAAAATTAGCCAGGCATGGTGGAGGGCACCGGTAATCCCAGTTACTCAGGAGGCTGAGGCAGAAGAATCACTTGAACCTGGGAGGTGGAGGTTGCAGTGAGCCGAGATCGCACCACTGCACTCCAGCTTGGGCAACACAGAAAGTCTGCCTCAAAAAAAAAATTTTTAAAATACAAATGTCTAATAAACACATGAAAATGTGCTCAACACCACAAAGCACTAGGAAAATGCATGTGAAAACCACAATGAGATACTGCTTCACAACCATTAGGATGGCTGTTATAGAAAAAATAAACCGGAAAATGACAAGTGTTGGTGAGGATGTGGAGAAACTGGAAACTTGTGCACTGCTGGTGGTAATGTAAAGTGTGTGGCAGTTACAGAAAACAGTATGGCAGTTTCTCAAAAATTAGACATAGAATTACTACATGATATAACAGTTTTATTTCTAGGTATATACCCAAATGAATTGAAAGTGAAGACTCCAACAGATGTCTGTACACTAATGTTTATAGCAGCATTATTCACAATAGCCAAAAGGTAGAAGCAAAATAAGTGTCCATTTGGATAAACAAAATCTGGTATACGTATTCAATGGACTATTATTCAGCTTTGAAAAGAAATAAAATTCTACTATAAGCTTACAACAGAGATGAACCCTGAAGATATTATATTAAGTGAAGTAAGTCAGTCACAAAAAGACAAATATTGTATGACTTAACTTATATGAGGTACCTAGAGTAGTCAAACTCATAGAGACAGAAAGTAGAACGGTGGTTGCTGGGGCTGGGGAAAGGGAGGCATTGAGAATTATTACTTAATGGGTACAAAGCTTCAGTTCTGGAAGACAAAAAAAGTCCTAGGCATGGATAGCAATGGTTGCACAACAATGTGAATGTACTTAATACCACTGAACTCTATACTCTATTTTTAACTTAAAAATAGTTAAAATGGTAAAATTTTGTTATGTATATCTTGCCAACATTAAAAATAACAAGTAAATATGCTCATTATCCCTTAGACCAAACTATCCTACTTCTGGCAATTTGTCCCCTAGGTATTCTACAAAATGATATGTATATGGACAGGACATTTGTACTACGCGTAATAAAAAATTGAAAAAAAATGCTCATCAACAGAGGGCAAGCTGAGTAAATCACAGGATAGTCTTAATTGACATGACTATGATTTTCTGTGTGTGGCAATAAAGAATACAATGATTATTAGTAGATTAGTAGTGTAGAGTTTGATGCTTTAGTCATGCTAAGGTACCAGCAATTTTAAACACCATCAGCGCAAGCGAAAACTCAATAAAAAGGCATTTTTTCTTCCCGAACAGGTATTAGAAAGAAAAGAAATTTCATAACACTTGGCCACTAAAATTTTTCTTGACAATCTCCATATTCCTAGAATCCCCAAGGTATTCACAAAGCCTAGCTCAAGACTGGCACATAGCAGTCAATCAATTTGTTGAATTTATTGATTTTTTTCCCCACAGGCAGACTTTAAGAAAGGCACGGTCAGAGAAATTGTATTAAGAGGATTTGCCTGGGAAGTCATTCAGTTACATCTAAGTGCCCACATCGAAGTATAAATCTCTCATTAGGTGCAGTGAGGGGATCAAAAAAGGAAAAATAACTTCTTCCAGGCATTCTAGTTAGAACATATTCTCACATGGAAATCACTCAATGTTTACAAAAACATGCATGTAAAATAGAAAACAGAGAATAAAAATTGATTATATGTTGTGACTAGTGAGTGTGAAATAATGAGGGGAATTAGACAGCAGGATTCATTATACTTTGGGAGAATGTAATCTTCACAATTCTCTCCAAATCATTCAAGTGAAGAGCATACCTAGTCTAGGCATCTCAGTATTTTGAAGAGAAGTGTTATTTTTTCATATGTCTGAAGTTTCAAGATCACTGGATGGTGAAAATGCTGACCAAATAGGAACTCATTTCAGGTCACACCCCTTTTTATGATGGGAGTTTTTGCTGATTCTAGGGAACCAGAATATAATAGAAGCTGCCACTTCTTAATTCATCAATCCAGGTTCTACAATTGACCCATTAATTGGAATAAATCAGTTGGGAATTCTTTCTCTCATTTAATGATTCTTAATGATTGTTATTTCCATCCTATACACCAAACACAGACACACATAGACACCGTGTTCTTCCCTTTACTCCACTAATCACTTCTAGTTAACTTTGACATCATGTTGTATACTTCTGTGTTCATTTCTAAATACCTTACCATGTACACTGAGGTCTGGTCATTACCCTATTCTCACATTCAAATTCACCATCAATACATATTACTTTTCCTGAAACATTTCCTTTTAGCTATTCCACTTTAAAGAACTGACCAAGTTACTTGAGTTTCGTAGGTCTTATAAAGATGTGGCTGGACTGGATTATAAGTTTTCATACTTATCTTGACCCACAGTAAGAAATACATTTTTACATCATGACAAAATTCAGACAAACATACATATATTTAACCTCAAAAAGTTCTGTAAAACCATATTTATTCTTGCTGATGAAGATGTACTGACTTTTTTTTTGTTTTTTAAAATTGACGTAAAATTTATATAACATAAAATTCACTATTTTAGCCATTTAAAAGTATACAATTCAGTTGTCTTTAGTAGATTCACAATGTTGTTCAACCATTACCATGATCGAATTTCAGAGCATTTTTATTACCTCCCAAAAGAAAATCCATATCTACTAAGCAGTCCCTCCCCATATTTTTTTCTATTCTATTTCATTTGCTCTAAAAATAATCTTGAATGAGACTCACTAAATTGGTCTTATGATCCACTGACCAATGAATCCCAACTCAAAGTCTGAAATAACTGCTAAATAATTACTGAGAGGACCTCTAGTTCTATGAATCTATTCCGTTATAGATATTGTTTCTCTCCAAGTGAAATCTAGTTTAGAAGATTCCCACTAAAATTTCCTGAGATGTTGCCTTTTTTGTATTCACGCAGGCATGCACTCAACATTTATTAAGAGCTTAAATGGAAGGGGAATTTAAAAAGTAGTCTCTACCTTCAGAGGGTTCACAATATAATAGAAAAGACAAACATGAAAGTAAATGAGTATGAATGAAGAACAGGAAGTGATCAGTTCTATCTTGTAGTGTGATGAGGGGATGGAATTAAGAAAAGTTTCATGGAGGCCGACTTTAGAAAGAATGCATAGGTGTCGTCTCATTGTCATTTAGACGTCTGCTCTAGAAATCTTATTCTCAATGTTATTTTCCTACAGTGGACTCTGCAAGTTCCAGGAAAACAGCACTATATATGGAAATCTGTTTTCATATCGGCCAAGAAGGAATACAGAAAGGAGGAAAAGGGAGAAAAGAAGGAAACAAAGAAACAGCATTTATTGAGTAGTTATAATGTATTAAACACATATATCTTCTTAATCTTCCTAATTTCTCAAAGTATATACATATTTTAATCCACATTTTGCTCTGAGCAAAAACCTCTCATGTCTTAGTCTATTTTGGTTGTGTAGGAACACATATATTTTCCAAGTGAGACAGGGATATGTGTCCCACACTTTGGCACTTAAATGTGAACATTTTCACTAAACATTTCTTTAACTTGCCAATGACATATGATTCTTTAGAACTTGAACTTGTTCTTTCTTGAGAAGGGAGCTATGATATATCAAAGTTATTATAATTTGGGAAGGCAATTAATGAGGGTACTTGTAATCCATGCATTGTGGGGATCCAGGAGGAAGGGAAGAATAAACAAGTGGAAAGTTATTTGAAGACTTGAAGAAAGATTTTTTTTTTTTTTTTGAGATGGAGTCTTGCTCTGCCAGGCTGGAGTGAGGGGGCACAATCTTGGCTCACTGCAACCTCCGCCTCCCGGGCTCAGGCGATTCTCCTGCCTCAACCTCCTGAGTAGCTGGGATTATAGGCATGTGCCACCATGCCTGGGGTTTTGCCATGTTGGCCAGGTTGGTCTCAAACTCCTGACCTCAGATGATACACCCACTTCAGCCTCCCACAGTGCTGGGATTATAGGTGCAAGCCACCATGCCCGGCCGAAAGACATTCTTATTGATGTTCACACAGGGAGAGGTTCCCTCTGCATTAGTCAGAAGACCAGAAAGGGGAAGTGATTTTTTAAAATCACAGATAAATGGGTCTCTTGTTTTCAAGGGGATAGTCTTCCTTGTGGCACTATGCCCCAAGGAATAGCTGAGGGAAATGAAGAGTTTCTGATCTGCTGAGAGCAGATCACAGGAAACCACCACCGAGAACTAGCAGAGATCTAAATGACATCAGAGCAGCATGTGAAATAAGAAGGCTTAAAAGGCGCAGGACTGACCATTGTTTAGGATGGTGTAGCCAACAGTAGATCCACACTAGGCAGAAAATATGACCCAAGGACTACTGTATTTGACCAGAAGGCTGGAGGAGCGGGGTGTGGGTGACGTTGCAGATAGAGACAGACCTCTCATAGGGAGCAGGAAGACAAAAAGACTGTGGAATATGAGAATGGATACAAAGCATAAGGAAAATCAAGCTTAGAATATCAGAGGGCACGAGAATAGCAGGAGCAACACAAACATTGCCTCAGAGATAAGGGTAGCAAGTTTTGGGTCATAGTAGTTAGATAATAAGCAAACATAAGAGAAGTCTGATGGCTTCAAGAGTTACCAGAAACTGAGAAAGATTCATGTAAATCAAAGAAGTGGATAACTCTGGCTGGCAAAAACAGAACATTTACAAAAGGAGAGTGAAGATGTAGAATTAGGAAGAAATGGAGGTAATTAGTTTTTCAAGTGCTTATTATGTATTATACAATCTGTTGCGTGCTTTACTTCTCACTCAATACTTGAAACCACCCAAGAAAGCAGGAGATACCCTCTCCATTTTATAAATAAGAAGTCTGAGGCTTGGATTTCATGTTTGTGTAGCTGGGCCAGCCCTGTATCAGGTTAGCAAAAAAGAACAGAGGTATGCAAAAGGGACACCTTCTAATAGGGAGTTAACAGAAGAAGATTTAAAAAGTTAATATGACATACTAAGATAAAACAAAATAAAATCAAACCAAGCAAACTTACTCTTGGGCCTGGTGCTCCAGGTGGACCCTAGAACACAGCAAATTAAAAAAATATACATTTATTTAGTAGACATCTCAAACCAGGCAAGCATATAAGCATCAATAGTAAACAGATATAAATGAAAACCAACTCACTGGAGGCCCTGGTTGACCTCTCGGTCCTTGAGGACCCTGGAAGAAATGGAGACAAACACAAGAGGTATATGTTATACTTTTGGTTGGGTATAAGCAAGAGAACTAATATTCAACCTCTGTCATCACCTTTCGTGCCAGGCAAGGCATACAATTTAAAATTGTTTTAGTATTCTAAAGTTATATGCTCCGGTACTTAGCTATCATCCATATTCATAAACAAGCTGGATATTTATTTTCCTGTTTATCGATATTGATATTATTAGAAACTGAATTTACTCATTTTACTAAACTACTATAAATGTAACATTTTAAAATGTCAGTATTGTCTAAAGATGTTTTTCCTGTTATTTCTAACTGCCACCTACCTAATCATCAAATATAGAAACTTCAGTGTTCTTAGACACCTTAATTTCCTTCATCTACCTATAAACTGGTTGCCAACTCCAAAATAATACCTCTCCATTTTTATTGACAATTAAATGAATGAAGGATGTTAAAATTAATTAGTATTAATGTGGAAATTAGAAAAGTTAAAAGGTATATAGCAAAATGTCAAAAGCTATGTTGACATTTTTCAAAATGAAGCAATAGTAATTACTGTTAAAAATGCTCAAAGGCCCTGTATGTCTGTTCAAAAGTAACCTAGATGTTCAGCTAAATGTTAAGACTACATTGAATCGACTCCAATTATGGTTAAAAGATGGCAAAGCAACACTTATCTTCAGCTGAGTTTTGGATAACGTCGACACCATGCTTGACTTAGTTTTAAGTATCTTGTATTGCCAAAGCTGTTAATCCTAAATATACTGTGATAGCTAGAACAAACAATACATAGCAGCTTGAAAAGAGTAGAGTACTCCAACACTGTGCCTGCTAGACATGTCTTAGTTTATCTGATTTATGATTACAATTTTAAGCAGAGAATGTACAAAACTTGTACATAATTAAATGAATGAATGATGTTAAAATTAATACTAGTTAATTTTAATACTAGTTAATACTAGTTAATTTTCACATCATCCATTCATTTAATTATCAACCAATGCATGTACTTCAGAAGCTGCATGGTAGGTGACAGAAATGTCACATTGGAGATAGCCTTTTAACTATACAGAAGCTCAAAATGAAATTGGTTATGTACACTTCTCCATTTTGGATCAACAATGTAAAAATAATAAACAGTTGTGATAGTCCATTCCACTTAGCAAAATTTTTGAAATTTGGAAAATATCACTGATGGTTCAGTACAAAATATGTATCTTATCTTTGACTTCAAAAGAGGAATTTATCATAGAAAAATAAGAAACAATTTCTACTGTTGACTTTATAAAGTTCATTCCAGCTTGTTATCCAGAACAAGTCAGACCACCACAAATATGATCAAACAAAATACTTCAAACCCACCCCAAGATAGGGCAGGCAACCCCAATGTAACCACATAGAATAGGGAAAGTAGCCAAGTTAAAAAAATATGATCCCAACAAGATAACATTTTATTAGTTCTTTTTTATTACTCTAGCTAATACACCATTAAGGTGAAGTGATTCACTGTCTCTCTCTTTTATGTAAAGCAGTTTATAGGCCGGGCATGGTGGCTCACACCTGTAATTCTAGCACTTTGGGAGGTCAAGGCCAGAGGACTGCCTGAGCTCGAATTTGAGACCAGCCTGGGCAACCTAGTGAAACTCCCTCTCTACTAAAGTCCAAAAAATTTAGCCAGGTATGGTGGTGCGCTCCTGTAGTACCAGCTACTTGGTAGGCTGAGGCACGAGAATTGCTTGAACCTGGAAGGCAGAGGTTGCAGTGAACCGAGATCACGCCATTGCACTTCAGCCTGGGTGACAGAGTGAGACTGTCTCCAAAAAATAAAATTAAATAAGTAAAGTAGTTTATAACAATATTATGATTGTCTCTGTTAATTTTCTTTCACTTTTTTTTTTTTTTTTTTGAGATGGAGTCTTGCTCTGTCGCCCAGGCTGGAGTGCCGTGGTGTGATCTCGGCTCACTGCAATCTCCACTTCCCAGGTTCAAGTGATTCTCCTGCCTCAGCCTTCCGAGTAGCTGAGACTACAGGCATGCTCCACCACTCCTGGCTATTTTTTTTTTTTTTTTTTTTTTTGTATTTTTAGTAGACACAGGGTTTCACCATGTTGGGCAGGTAACTCCTGGCCTCAAGTGATCCACCTGCCTTGGCCTCCCAAAGTGCTGGGATTACAGGCATGAGCCATTGTGCCTGGCCATCTAGGTTAATTTCTAAAGGGGAACCAAATTACTCTGAATGCTTATGGTGGTTATTTGGCTATAGTGAAAACACTACCTATGAAAATAGATTCTCTTTCCACTTTATTCCAGAATTTACATACAATCCTCCAAAAGTAACGTATTTTATCAGTATACTTTAAAAATACGTGTAAGTGCGTACTCTTAAACTTGAGTATGTTAGTCTTTTCTTTTATGTAAATTTCTTTTATTTCATTTCCTTATGTCATCTCCCTTATGTAAATGCAATCTTGATTTAGCTTCATGATCCTTATTTTAGGCTGGCTCAGTTGCAGAGAGCTTCCTTTTCTCATTTATAAACTGAGGAGCTTCCATTGTAGGATGTTTAGCAGCATCCCTAGCTTCTACCCACTAGATGCCACTAACATCTCATTCTTTTTCCCCAATTGTTCAACCAAAAATTTCTCCAGACATTGCCAAATGTCTCCTAGGGCAGTAGGGGGACAAATGGCTGCTGGTTGAGATTCATTGGTTTGAAAGGAGAGTTTAGTAATATTAAATAAGATTAACTAGATAGCAATGTAATTAGAACAGAATGAGTGAGCATCACAAGTCATACGGCGTGACTGCAAACAAGAACATAAACTCTTCAAGCTGTCATGTGGGTGATAGCTGGGCTACTCTAGGTAGAGGATACACACACACACACACACACACACACACACACACACACACCCCATATTCCTTACCAAGTTGCTTCTAACCCTCTTTTTCTAAGAGGCACTGTAATTTATAGAAAAACACAATCACATAGGAACTGGGAGACCTGGGCTCTGGTTTTTGTCTTTGTAACTTAATTTGCTATATGGTCTTAAGTGAACTGCTGCACATTTGGATCTCAGATATCTAAATTGTAATATAATAGGTCTAGTGAAGATAATCTCCAAGGTTCACTTTAAAATTATGATTTTCAAGACTTTTGTCAAATTTCTTCCTGACATGTGTTTTTTTTAATTTTTAAATTTTCTTTAAAGATGGGAGTCTTGCTATGCTACCCAAGCTGGCTTTGAATGCCTGGGCTCAAGCAATTCTCCTGCCTTAGCATCCCTGAGTAGCTGGGACCACAGGCATGTGCTTCTGCACCTGACCTACCTCATGTTTTATATCTGGATAAATAGGTGTACATATGCATACAGATTGGGAATTTAAAATTTAAAGTCTGTACAAATGTAATAGTAAGTGTTCTTGAATTTAATAAGTTTGATAATTTTTTAAGGAATGATTTATACTATTTATGAATTTCAAAAATAAATACATACATATATATGCTTTAAAAGCTTATGGTGTTAATATTTAGGACCTATTTCCCATATCCTAGTTTTTCCTTCTAATGCAGAAACCATCCTCCTCACTTTCAAATTGGAGGCAAATAAGACAATGCTAATCAAGAACTGTGAAGACACATTAACTTAGAGATAATATTAGAGAAAATGTCAATGGGATGTTTCAATATTTTATGATTTCATTAAATAGTATGCTAAAAATATGAAGCAGCTAATCTAAAAATTCATGCTGAGATTGTTCTCTGCTTTTTTTTTTCATTTCTATAGCTTTAAGTTATGTGATTCAAGTTGTGACATTCTGTGAAAATTATTTTCAGGCCAGGTATAGTGACTCATGCCTGTAATCCCAGGGCTTTGGGAGGCAAAGACCTGAAGGATCACTTGAGGCCAGGGTTCGAGGTCAGCCTGGGCAACACTGGGAGACACTGTATCTACAAAAATAATAATAGTAATAATCATTAAATAAATAAATTAGCCAAGTGCAATGACATGCACCTGTAGTCCTATCAGCTATTTGAGAGGCTGAGGTGGAAGGACTGCTTGAGCCCAGCAGTTCGAGGCTCCAGTGAGCTATGGCTGCACCACTGCATGTCAGCCTGGGTGACAGAGCAAGTCTGTCAAGAAAGAAAAAAACAATCATTTGCCGATATCTGACACTAGGATACCATTTCTTCTATAAGTTAAAATTTTACTTAGAATTTTACTTAAGTTAAATTTTTACTAATTGTATCTCATTATTTCCAGCTGTCCTCTTTGCATTACTTACTCTAAAATTTACTCAATTGTGTTTTAAGTGTTTGAGGTCTCATAGAAAGTAGGAAATTTTGTAAACTTTCAGGATTAATTTGCCAGTAACACAACAGTTTTGAAGTAGAGAAAGAGTAGATAATTCTACATGTTATCTGCTAGTTTTCCTTAAGATACCATATGAACAGGGCTGGGTGCGGTGGTTCATGCCTGTAATCCCAGCACTTTGGGAGGCTGAGGTGGGCAGATCATCTGAGGCCAGGAGTTCAAGACTGGCCTGGGCAACGTGGTGAAATCCCGTTTCTACAAAAAATAGAAAAAAAATTAGCCGAGTGTGGTGCTGAACGCCTGTAATCCCAGCTACTCGGGAGGCTGAGACAGGGGAATCACTTGAACCAGAAGGTGGAGGTTGCAGTGAGCTGAGATCATGTCACTGCACTCCAGCCTGGGCAACAGAACAAGACCCTGTCTCAAAAAAAAAAAAAAAAAAAAAAGAAAATATATACGAATCTAGGGACTCATTTAAAAAACAGTCCATAGGCAGGTAGACAGGCAGCAAGTATAGAACAGAAAGAAAAATAACTCTTTCATAAATGGCCATACAGAATCAGCTCTCTCAATGGTGGAAAGGACCTACTTGGGATCAATACTAGAGTTTACAATGTTAAATTACAGAAGATGTGAAGCTTCCTAATCAAGAAACCCAAATTATAACAAAGGGGTTAC